TGTAGAGCACTCCTACTATCTTTTATATGCATAGCTAGCTTTCTCATATGCTCTAATTTTATCCTCTTGATTAATGTTATGTTCTGTCTTTCAGTTTTTATATTCTATACAATATCTGACTAACCATCTGGCCTTGCATAAATATGTGCCTTTACTTTTAGTTTCTTACAATCTTTAACATTTCTAGTTCACCACAGACACAGGAGCCATCTGATCTCCCAGTCAGTATGTGGTTTAAAATCTCCCACAATTATCACCATGCCTTCCTGAGAGGCTCTCATCTCACCATTTCTTCATATATGCCCCATCCACTGCATGGTTACTATGGTGGGGGAGGGGGTGGTGGGGCATTGCTAGACACCACTCCCACAACTGACTTCTTGTCTTAATCATTTGTCAAATTTACCTAACTGTTTCCACATCTTTGTTTTCTGAACTGAGGTCATCCCCCACTATTACGCTAATTAACATTAACATTTTCCTGGGTTCCAGTCATTCCTAAATGTCTTGTACCTTTCAACATTCAGGTCCTAATCCATGTCATCCTGCAGGCATGTTCTGTAGTGGCTACCAGATTGTATTTATTCATTTCTATTTGTGTTTTTTGTTCATCTGTTTTGTTTGAAATGATACTTGCATTCAAATACAGAACCTTTAGCTTTATCCTTTCATTCTCTTTGTAAATTCTAGACTGACTGTTGAATTGTTGTATTCTACCCTTTCCTGTCACAGTCTGTTTATCATTTCCTGTATTAAAACCTTTCTGTTTGGCTTTGACTTTATTCTTTGATTAATCACATCTTCCAAAGTTTAAACCTTGCTCCCACCATTCAGTTTAAAATCCTCTCTACTTTCCTAGTTATGTGGCTGGAAAGAACACTGATCTCAGAACAGTTCAGGTGGAAACTCTCCCATTTGTATAGATCCCATTTTCCATAGTACTGAGACTAAGGCCCCACGCACCAGAACCCACTTCTCTCACACCAGGCTTTGAGCCATATATCCTTCTCTCTAATCAAATTTTCCTGACGCCATTTTGTATATGACTCAGGTTATAATGGAGAGATTATGATCATTGAACCTCTGCCTTTTAATTTGACATCTACTGTACCACCTCCTTTATCATGTCTACTTTGGTACCTGCATGGACCACAATAACTGGATTCTAGCCCCTTCTCTTCAAATTCTATTCCAGCCCAGCACATATTTCCCAAGTCCTGCACTGGACAGGCAATATGGCCTCCTGAACTCACAATCACGTAACAAGGTGCTTGACACAAAAATTTAAATAATGTGTTGAGCCAGATAGTTAATTGTAGTTTAGAATGCATCAGTGAACAGATTTTCCTTCTGCTTATAAAATAATTATATTTCATACCAAAAAAAGTGAAAAGCTTTCTAGCACTAGAGATTGTCATGTATTTAAATGTAATGAATAATTATATCTTTCAGTGGGCAACATAAGACTTTAATGACTTTTAAAGGATGATGTTACTACTGATAGCAATGCGTACATTTAACAGCCAGGCCTTTTAAACTGCCAAGTAAAACATTTTCCACAATAAACCTAGATCCCAGAATTCAGTAAAGGGATATTTTCATTTTCAGCCCTTTTCAATGGCAATGATTGATGCTGTAAATCTTATTGCTTGTACCGCAGCCAAGTTTTAGTTCTGAGACAGAGACCGCTTAGGCACTTAATGTTTTGAAGGAACAAACTGTCTTTCATATTTCAAAAAGATGAAATCCAGAGTGTTGTCCAAAAAGTGATGCATTTAATTCTAATAGTCAACCTTCTGAGTAAGTATTTGGAAATAAGGCTAACAGATTTGGACGTAAACTTCCTCATCTACATAAACTTTAGATACTCCCATTCACTGCATTCACTGAGTGATCCAAGACTGCTATGACTAAACATTGACTATAAAGCATTACTTTGAATGGTAACGAATACGCTGAATAAAATCAAAATAGAAAGTGCCATTTGTGGAATTTTGTTTTTCTGCCATTATACATTTTATCATTCCATGTAATGAATTTTTGACAATACAGTGTCACTGGAAATGTCTGTCTCCATTGTTAGACTTCTACAGAATGGAGCATTAACTTATTGTAAAACTTTTTAAAAATTCATTCATAAGGTGTTGGCAACACTGGATGAGCCAGCTTTTATTGCCCAGCATTAATTGTCCTTGAGAAGATGCTGCTAAGCTGCTCTCTTGCACCACTGCAGTCCACTTGATATAGGTACACCTGCAATGACATTAGGAAAGGAGATCCAGGATTTTGTTCCAGCAACATTGGAAGTAGTGATCTATTTCCAAGTCAGAATGGTGTGTGCTTTGAAGGGGAACTTGTAGGTGGTGGCATTTGCTGCCCTTGTCCTTCTAGATGACAGCGGTCATGTGTATGGAAAGGAACAAAAACAAAGCTGCTGGAAAAGCTCAGCAGGTCTAGCAGCATTTGTGAAGAAAAAAATCAGAATTAACGTTTTAGTTCCGGTTACCTTTCCTCAGTTTCTGAGGTTTCTGAGCAGAGGGCTGAAACATGAGCAAGACTTTACTTGAGTTCAGAGTTTACAGGAAACATTCACATGCCTCAAGTGAGCTCAGGCACTGAAAATTTATGTTTTCCCAGCCACCATCAGTTCTGTGGAAGGGTCACCAAACACAAAATGTTAACTCTGATTTTTTCTTCACAGATGCTGCCAGACATGCTGAGCTTTTCCAGCAACTTTGTTTTTGTTCCTGATTTACAGCATCCACAGTTCATTCGGTTTTTATTATGTGTTTGGAAAGTTTTGTCCAAGGAGAATTTGTGAACTTCTACAGTGTAGATGTTACGTACTGCTGCTACTGAGCATCAATGGTGGAGGGAGTGAATGTGGCGATGTGATGTCAATTAAGTGGGCCACTTAGTCCTTGCTTGTGTCAAGCTCCTTGACTGTTTGTGGAGCTGCATTCCATCATACTCCTAACTTCTGGTGTGTGGACAACTGAGCGTTTTGAGCAAAGCTAATGAGGTATGGGTTACAACTCATGGTTATTTGAACATATATAATTTGAACAAGTTGTTCTGCTGAGATAGGAACTATAATTGAAACACATTTAACTTGTTGTGTGTAAAATTTGAACATCCAGTGGACATAATGCATCTTCAAAAGAAGAGGTCCACTGCTAGTAACAGGAGAGAAACAAATTTGTTTGCATTGAGGAATCCAAAACTAATATACTACAACTTGATGATGATGGAAATAAGTTCTAAAACTTAGACTGAAAACCATGGATACAACAATTTCCATTCATATGGAGCCTTTAGCATTGCTCCAAACTGTTTCACAGGAGCATTATCAAACAAAATTTTACTCTGAGCTGCATGAGCAGATACAAGGGGTTGACCAAATGTTTGATCAAAAAAATAGAGTTTAAGGTGTGTCTTAAAGGGAGACAGAGAAGTAGAAAGGTTTAAGGAGGGAATTCCAGTGTGGAGGAGTTAGGCAGTTGAAGGCACAGTGGCTGTGGGTGGTGTGATTCAGATCAAGGAGGAGAAAAAGCCAGAAGCAAAGAAATGCAGATACTTCAGAGAGTTATAGAGACTTGGGAGGTTCCACATGTATGGAAGAAAGCCACAGGAATATTTGAAAAACCAGAAGAGAATGTTTATATCAAATCATTACATGACTGGGAACCAATGTAGGTTTCTGAACAGAGGAATGATAGATGAGTAAGAGTTTACTTGAGTTCAGCGTTTACAGGAAACAATCACAAACCTCAAGTGAGCTCAGGCACTGAAAAACTACTCTTCCACACAGAGTAGTGGAATGCACCTTTCAAACCCATTACCTCTACCACTTAGAAAAGCTAGGAGAGACAATGCATTGCAAAACCCACTGCTCATTCCCCTCCTAACCCCGACTTTGAACTATATTGTCATTCCTTCACTGTTATTGGGTCAAGATCCTTCATAATCCTTCAAAGACCCTGCCACACAGCAGGGCCTGGGAGAGGGATACCCATAGTGTTAATCATTGGGGGCCAGGCCAGAATTTTGAGCAGATACCCCATTACCCGCCCAGTGCAACCAAACAGTGCAAAGTTGCTCATTTGCAGGAGAGAAACAAAATCTGTGATGATCTGCTCCAATCAGAGATTCTGTGATTCTCATGTTCCTTCTTTCACAGGTTGCTTCTATGCCATGTTTACTGCTGAAAAGTTCAGTCCTGCTTCACTGGACAGCTAGGAAGGTAAGTGACTTAGGTGAGAAAGTCACTGGCATTATTGTCAGCCAGGAATGGGCCTCTGGGGGAGTTGAACATGGGATTGAGCCTCTGCGATAGTAGGCAGGTGGGACCAAGGATTGGAAGGAGGAGGCCACAAGGGGTTGGAGGAGTGAAACATGAAGCCTTCAAGGGGTAGAATTGGAAAGGAGGATGTTTCAAGATTTTGGAGGGAAAGGAAGAGGCTGTAATGTATTGGGGTCAGAAAGGAGTAAGCTCCAAGAGGGTGGAGAAGGAGGAGATTGAGACTGGTCAAGGGGAAGGTTGAGGGTGGGAATGGAAACATGTGAGTGGAAAGAGTAGGCTCTAATGGAGTGGAAAGATGGAGGCAGAAAAGGATTGTAAAAAGAAGCAGGTGGGTGGCAGAAACTACTGTTCGGTTGGGGTGAAGAAGGAGGTTGCAAGGTTAGGGAGCAGGAAGCTGTTAGATTAGGGAGGAGAGGAAGACTGCACATGGGGCAGAAGAAGTAGGCTGCAAGTTGGAGTCCAAGAAAAAGGAGATTCCTAAGGAGAAAGAACAGTTTCAGACCTGTTGTTAGGGCTGCCCATGAAACAACAACAAAAAATGAGCGACAACAATCCCAACAAGCTTTGCAGTACATGTTTAACAGAAATTATAAAGTGTGATAAGCACTTATTTAATGTGTTCTCAGCACAGAGGACAATAGCTACCTGTTTCCTTTCAGTAAGATTGGATGTGCAACGTTCTTTGCTACCCTAAAGATAAGAACATTTCATACCAATTAGTTATTTAAGTCTTTTTCTATTCAATCAGTTATAATACTACAAATAGGTTTTAATTAAGATTCTTAAGGTAATCATAGATATAGATTTCAAGGTGTTATAGAAGGATATATATAGTTTTTACAGACACACTAATCACTAAAATATTAGAAAGAAAGGTTTAAAACTAATTGTAAGGGGCCTTCCTTATCTGTTCTAGTTGAGACAGAAAAAGTTACAAGCAGCCATGGAAAGTTCAGTTTCCCACATAGCAAAAGGGGCCATTCAGATTAAAGCAACAAGATTACTAATTGAATGATGGACTAGAAACCCAATCATAGCTGACCCAGATCTAATTAACTAATAGTATACATGGGAAGAGAGTGTGTGCCACCATGTTAATGTTTCAAGAAAAATATATAAAAGACATTTTACTTGAAATTGAAATTAGAGTGTCAGTTTCTTCTGATCTGAGCTGCAGATCAAGATGGTAATTGAACCCTCACATCGAGGCGGACTATGTCAATAAAATTGCCACATGCCTCAAACTCTGTTGTCTCCTGAAAGATTATCATCTCTGTAAGATTCTCTCCTACAGTCAGTGGACAGGTACAAAAAAAAGACTAATCAAATTTTTGTCTTTATGTCAACAGGATTTTAAGTTTACTTCAATCATGCAGAGCTCTGATCAGACCTGAGCTGGATAAACTGCCAACAGTTCTATGTCCTATACCTCAGGAGTGGGTTGGTGGGATTCAGTGGAAAGATACCATGGCAGAAAAAGAGATTGAGCTCTGAGGATAATATAACATAGACCTGTGTTTCCTTGAATTAAAAGAAAACTAACAGGTGATCTAGTTGACCTTGAATGGTTATGACACAGGAACAGGCCATCCAGCCTGTTGAGTCTGTGATGGCCCTCTGCAAGAACAATATACTCAGTACCATTCCCAATACAGCCTTGCTAGTTTATTTCTCAAATTTTTCACATTCATTCACAGGATATTGGCATCGCTAGCTCAGTCAGCCTTTATTGCCCAAATTTGCCTGGAGGACAGTTTAATGCCAAATTGCCGTGTGTGTGGAGTCTCATCTGGGCCAGATCAGGAAAGGACAGTAGTGAGCTGGATGCGTTTTCTCCAACAATCAACAGTAGTTGCACAGTTACCATTAAGCTACCTTTAAAGTTCATTTTGCATTCAAAATTCACCATCTGCCATCATGGGATTTGAACCCAAGTCCCCAAAGATTAACTTGGGGTTTTGGATTACTTATCCTTTGTTATTACCACAATATCCCCATCTCCCCATCTAAATAAAGGATGAATCAAGGATTTGAAAGGCTGGATAAAAGGAAATTACTGTTCTGGTGAGACAGTCGAAAGAGAGGTGCATCAACATAAAATTAGTCTTTGTCCAACAGGGTTGAGGTCAAGAAGCACTTGCTTAAACAAGGGGAAGTGGAATTGTAGAACTCCGGCCACTCCCCTCATACCATAACATTATTCAAGCTGGGGGTCAACTGAAACTATCAAAATTGAAATTAGGTTTTGTTTAGTAAGAGTTTGAAGGGTTACAGAACCAACAGGAATAGATAAAAATAAACGCAGATCAGCCATGATCTAATTAAATGGGGAAACAGATCCGTGGGATAAATTGTCCATTATAATGTAATGTTTTAACAGATTAAAATCATAAAGGCACTGATCAAAATTTGATATCAGGAAAACACTGGGTGATGGGATCCCTGCCTGTTGTAAATTTTTGACACAGTCATTCTTGATCTTCGCCAGTTCCTCCTTTTCATTAAATATTGTGCAATGATTTCTCACTGATTTGATATCATTATCAATTTTAGATCGAACAAAGTAGAATTTCTTCCCAAGCCGTCTAATTTCTTTGGCAAGTTCTGCATCATTTTCTCTGAACCGGCAGTGTGAGATAATGATGAAGAAATTGTACGTCTCAAAGTTCATTTCCCTCAGATATTTATCTGCTGGGAATCTTGTTGTTCCAATTCCCGGCAGATCCCAGAAACGGACATTTGACATTTTGAGATCTTTGTACCCAATTGGCTCCATTGTTGTTTCAATGTTACCAGTTTCAGCAGCTCCCTCATCATCGCTCCGAAGGCCCCTCATGGCATTGATGAAGGTTGATTTCCCTGAGCCTGATTCTCCTGTCACTGC